ACGGGATGAAGCTAAATTTATATCCCGAGGAAAAAGAGAGAGAGAATCCGCCTTGAGTGATAAACAGACCGGAAATATGTAGACCGGCGAAATAATATTGGACCGATCCGTGCGAAAGGTCCGTCGCGAAGAAAAGCTTGTCCACCATATCAGGTACTTTACGTCACCGGGTGACCGTTCGATCCACCCTCGATTGTCGCCGAGAGCACGGTCCATCGTCCGATGGAGAGAGAAAACGGAGGGAGAGACAACGTCGTCGTCAAAGCGACGACTATTAATAACTATAAATATACCGTTCGACGACGACGGTGATTTCGAACGTCAAGATAGGCTCCCGTTGACGTACACGGAACCTGCGGATTGCTCTCTCGCCGTGCATTCGTACACAAGTGCACGCATACAAGCGTACGTATATGAGAACGTCTCGCGTGCGGAGATGAGGGAAGAGAGGAAAGGATGCGAGAGAGGATCCGTGCCACTCGGTCATTGGTGAACGTACCGTGCCGTACCGTTTCGTACCGTATGCATCCTCTGTCGACGGAGAAGATGCTGTATCTTCCTGATTCGAGATGCATCGCGCGAGAGAAACCTCCGCGCGTGTCGTCGATTAATTAAAGGGGGATCTCTTAGAAAGAGCACGGGGGATAATATTCTCGGTCACGTAGAAATGACATCGTAAATATTATGCTTCGCGTGCAGATGTACAAGCTCTAATTTTAATTCCGCTTATTATTTTATAAATTATAGGTGCAAAAAATTACAAAGTTACGTGATATATATTGTCTCCTCATCCACTTTTGTTCCCACATATGTGAGAGGTGAGTCTCTTAAGTTTATAAATAGATTAGTGTTATATCATAAAGGATCAAGAGGATTCATTCCCCCTTTTCAATTCGTCTTCGAGATTGACGTATAAGAAACGGATAAACAATCGATAAATGAATAAATAATAATTTGTTTTAATCATATTGCTTTGTGTTTGCGAGCGTAAATACACGTGAAAACTCGCATTCTTTGATTTCGAAGAGACTCATGAGTGAATCTTTCTCAAAGAAATCTTTCACAAGGACGTTTGCCCTTGTTTCAAAATTGAAATAGAAATATGACATATCGATTTTGACATGCACTTTTCATGTAACGACAAACAATACGATAGAACGACATTTGTATCTTTCAATTTGGATAAAAAAATCGGAGAACGGGAGTTTTCTTCGCGTAGCCGAGCACTTACGAAAATTTAAAATTCAATAGTCGGCCTCTATCCGAAAAACTCTGTGAAATAAAATAGAGAGAAAGGTAAAAGGAAAATCGACTTTCTTCCTTCTTCTCCCCTCCTTTCTTTCTCTCTCTCTTTTCGCGTTCTCGGCGGATGAGGCACGAGAGAGGTCAGAAGGTAGCGAGGTACCACATCTCGTCTCGGGGCTGGTTTCTCGCTTCGGAAAAAGCGGCGAGAGGTCCCGGGAGCCGCGACCTCAGCGATTCCCAACGCGCGGGCGGCCAGGAAGAGAAGGAGAAAGAGAGAGAGAGATCACGCTAATTTATAGAAGTAATTCCGATAACGGCGGGATTAGCGGATGACGCGAATAAGCGAGTCACGGATCAATATTCAACGCACGTAGAAAGAGAGAAATTGCGGATTCTCTATACGTTACATTAATCCGCGTGTGCGATTACGTTTTATTGTGCATGTGGGATTGATAATGCGAGTAACTGTAAAAACAGATGAGACAGGGAGAGTCGCGGGAGAGATGATACCGCGAAGAATGAGACACGAGGAAGTCGTCAGACTTCCAGCGTATTATCCATGCACCGATTGAAACGAGGACCTGGCAAGAACGACCAGCGAACGATCTCCTGATCTTCGTCTACGTAATACGTTCCCTCTATTAAAGAATTCTCTTTATTAAAAGTTGACGTAAAATTAAATTTTTTTTTAAATTTCGACAAGATTTTCAACCGCAGATTTTTCTTCTCGTTGCAGTTTCCTTTTTTTCTAATTTTCCTATACAGCGAATGAAATGGTTTATATTTACAGATTAAAAAAAACACCTAGTAAAAGATCTGCAAGTATATAAAATAACGTTTTATATGCACATGCGTGTGTTTGTATACACATACGCGCCATTTCCTCGCATCTGGCACCTCGAGCCGAGGTCAAAAGGTAGCGAAACGCCGGCGGGCCCGGTGCCCGGTTCTTAACCGCGGTCGTAAAAAGGCGCGCGGAGGCCTCGAGAGCTGACCTCGCGGTGGTTTCCGACGCGTTACAACTTTCCTCCCCCCCTCCCCTTCTCATCTACCATGGGGGTACAACGCGAGTCTGTTAATGACTCTGCGCAATCTCCCCTCCGCGTAACGATAATCGATTACCGTGTTTGTTTCTTGTCGACAAGTGGAGTGAACTATGATTTTCCATAACGTTCGAGGCTAGCGAAGCGCGACCAGGCTACCAGGTTATCATTTATACGAGAAAATGCACGCGGGTTGTGTATCGCGTGGAATCTAGAAACTTAATTCCAAAATTCTTCTTTATTTTTTAGCTTTATACGTCTCGATTCTTAGATACTCAATTATAATTAATATTTTTTTAAATATATTTTTAATATATTTTTTAAATATATTTTAATTAATATATTTTTTAATATAGATAATTTATATGTAACGAATATGTCGAAATGAATGTATTCAATTACATATTTAAATTACACGTATAAAATGTACATGTATTATATTACACGTATATTTAAATGCATATAAATTTAATATAATAATATTTCGTAATTAATGCATTAATGAAGATATATAAAGTTGAAAATTGAAAAGCGAAACATCATTAATCACTTTTTTCTTCCTACCCGCAGGAGAAACGACAGTTTGGATAAATTGTCGTCGCGGGCTTTCAGAAAAGGACGTTCTCCGCATAGAGGCACCATTAACGCGTTACAGCGTATATTCAGCTCTCGCAGAATGTAGGTAAAGCCGGCAGCGCGGCGATGCTAGACCGTTAAGACCCGATCGTTTATAAATGTACGACAGGAAAGGGGGATAGAAGGTGCGCGAAGCGGGGGCGGAGGTGATGGAAGAGGAGGGGGAGGAGGTGATCCGAGCCGTGTGCATACTTTTGCGCGCGGAGTTCCAAATGTCAGCGGAGGATCGACTCGCACGGAGCGGACGTGTTCTCTTCGTATGCGAGTGAACGTTATGGCCGCGTTATATGCCGCTGCATATGATCAGGAGAGAGAGAGAGAAAGAAAAAGAGAGAGAAAGAGAGAGAGAGAGAGAGGGGTCCTCTCTCTCCTTCACCCTCTCTCGGAAAATCCTCCGCGGCCACCTACGCGAGCCGCTCGCCCATAATCATTTTCTAGGAATTACTGTTACAGAGATCCCTCTCGCCGTAACGGAGAACGATGGACCGCGAGAGAAGCGTGATTAGAAGCCGTGTATACACAATACCTCCGGCGGGTCGCATTTTTAATTCGTACCCTTGACGCCCCATCTATTTTCTTCTGCCGCGTCTAATCCGAGACGGTGCTTCGAGATATATCGAATGATTAATTTAAACATGGTCTCGTACCGGACGAACCGAGTTACCGTAATCAATTATAACTGCAAATATTTCCCTACGGTTTATTAGCGGTTATAGTTGATTACGATAATTCGGCTCGTCCTCGGAGCATAATTTTACTCGGCAAACGAGTCACACAAGTTAATCGAAAAATTACGCTTGGCGCTCGAGATATCGCGGATATGCGTTTGGATATTGAAGAGCGCCCATTTGCAAATATCCGACCGAATGACTCGTCCGTAATTTGAGATCGACGTGATATCGTGGGATAAATTGAGTGTCGCACGGTCGGCCGCGGATTTCCGTTTGTCGATCAAAAACGACGCGCGGACAATCAGCGCGATCAGCCTTAAAAAGGTCCACGAGGTAGGTACACGAGAGAGGCGATTTGCGCGAACGACCGTCGATGATAATGGACCGGATCGTCGATTCGTACGTTACATCGTCTGCCACCTGCGTACACACACACACACACACACACACAAAGAAAGAGAGAGAGGGAGAGAGATTGCCCGGTACTATAGTCGAATCGTGGGAATCGTCGGATTACATCCGCCCAATTAATTTTTTCGCCGGTACCGACCCTACGGTTTCGCATGGCGTTTCCGAACCGGGGGCGGAGAGGAGAGAGAAAGAGGTGGCTGCTGCTGCTCCCGTTTTTTTTTACGCACACTCATTTAGCTCGCTACAAGAGGCAGATAATACCGGGGATGCATCTTGTAACGCGATGCAGCTTCTTCCATGGAGCGTATGCGTCCGTGTGCGCGTCTTACGTGTGTGTCCGGCAACGATTAAGCGGAGGAAATCACCGTTGCACGATTAATAAGACTATTCGCGGCTGTAGACGCGGTCCTAAAAAGCGAAAGTTTAAATTGGCGGTAACCGAGTGAATTTTCGGTGTTCCCTGCTTATTATATATCTCGAATCAAATGCGAAAGTTTCGCAAAAATCTCTGATATTTTTTATTCAGGACAATTTGTCATCTATCCATTTTGCATCTCTTATCGAAAATGTGAATTAATATAAAATCCTGATTTTTTAGAAAATGCAAATACAATATAATTTTATATAGAAACAAATATTTGTATCGTTACATTTTTTTTAAGTCATGTTAATAATCTCTTAAAAATTATATAATATATATAATATTATATATATATATATATATATATATATATATATATATAAATTAAACGAATAATCAGGCTTGAGGAGCAAATATACAATAATGTTAAAGTCAGTAAATAAGACTAGATGCGGGGCTTAATTTACAAGAAGACACCGAATTATTGCATGATTCCTATTTACCGATCATTGAAACTTTCAAAAAATTTTAATCATAAATCAACGTACTTTCTTTGCTTTCGATTCAAAGATTTTTATTATACTTAACGTCTTGATTTTGTTTTGATTTTGGACGCTTTGTTTATCTCTGAACTTTGACGCTAATAGTCTATTTAATATCTTTCTCCGAAACGGATGTATTATTCTATACTGTGGCTTTATTGTGTCAATTTATTCGATCGATTTCATGTGGTGAGTGTTGACAAAAATTTTTAATTTTTTTAGTTATAGTTTGATAACTAATTGATTTATGGATCTAATCTGAATTTAGAAGAATCACGGCCTCTTCGCGTGTTTCTTTCTGCATATCTTTACCAAGACAATGTACGGGGAACATGAGGGAAGGAGAGACATTCTGGAAACATCCACCACGTGGTCGACGCCTAATACTGTTGAGAAACCGTTAATTACGCAGCCGAATATACGGTTCACTTTGATACCATTCATGCGACAAGCGTAACCCTTGTAATTTTTAATTTTCCTAAAATTTATTTATATATTTGTATATTATTATATATTTGTACTGAAGAGAGTCCAGTTAAGGACGGAAACGTACGTTTATATTTCATCATCAAGTTTAAAATGCGCATAGTCATTAATAGTTACTTATTTTAATGTATTGCAACGTTATTAAATCTAATCTTATTTACTTTAACATTATTGTATAATATTTGCTCCTCAAGCCCGATTATTCATTTAATATATATATATATATATATATATATATATATATATATAATAATAATATGTAATATATTATAAAGTAGATTAGAGCTGTTTTTTCTCTTTCGAGAGAAAATTTTTTAATCCTGTATTTGTTGCACGCAAAATGTGTTAGATATTTTTTTTAAATTACTTCATATGTTTTTTTTTTTCATTTTCCTTTTGTAGAAAGGATAGGGTTATACCCTCTCGGAGGAAAAAAAAAGATTGCTGTTGCTTCTCGCGCGAGCTGGAGAGAATGCAACGCGTGCACGCCGCGCGCGTGGTGAACAAGTGCGAAAAAGTAAGAGGCCACGCGTTCGCGCACACGCGTGTACGTACACACACACTCGTTCTCTCTTTTCTTTCTCTTTCTCTCCCTCGATGTACTCTCTATATATCTTTCGGAGGACTTTCACTTGCCCTCCGCTTTGGCGTACATCGCCGAGTGCCGAGTTTACGAGCACGTGAGGCGGCATCCGAGCATCCTCCTCTTCTCTCCGCCTCCGCCTCTTCACCTAGATGAATGCACCGATGCAGCGACGAATTCAAACCTACGATAACAAGCTTAAATTACAAAGGAAATAGACCAGCTGAAATAAATAATAATGAAAATGTTAGAAAAGTAATGTTTTGGAACGAAATCTCTTTGGAGCAGAATTATTTAGAATTGTAATCTCTATTAATTAATCTAACGAGATACACAAGTTGCATTTTGCAAATTAATATTTTAATAAAGCATCGAAGAAGCTAATTTGAATTTAAATGAATAAAATATCATGAATTTAAATATAAATATAAAAATATGATTTTAATTCTTATAAATTATATACACATAATATGCATATAAATATAATTATTAATTTTATATATATATGCAAAAAGAACAGTAATAATTTTTGAATATTTTAATTATTTTCTCTTCGCTGTCGGGAAAATTGTCAAACAAGCACTGATACAACATAAGTCAGATATCGATTCGATGTTTCGCAAAAAGAGATAAAAAAAGCGCGATTATTTCATTGACGAGTAAAGCTCGGCGACGACAGCTTCGACACGAAGCAATTTTTCAGACCGCTGCTTCCGATCGGCGCCGAATTCTGTAACTATACGGTACGAATAATGTCGACGGTGCGGTTGACGTTGGTGTTGGTGGTCGATGGTCTCGTGGCTGTTGGAGCGCGACGGAATCGCGAAGGGTCCGGTCGCGCAACCCTATCCCTGATCGATGGCGACAGGGTTTGCAACGGTTCATCGGCTGTCTGTCTTCCTACCGTAATTCGGCGCTTTCGTCCCGTCGCTTTTCTAAATTGGAAAAATATCACGAACCTCTACGCGACAACATCGCGACAAAGTCGACTGCGAAATAAATGGATATCTTGAGCTTTTTATTTTATCAGCCATGGTTCTCAGGACAATTTTCATCAAGGATTCATTCCATTAATATTTCCATAATATTTCCGGTAATATATTTCCGTAAAATTTTCGTTAATATTTCCGTCAATAATTTCGAAGGGCTTTTTTCGATTGATATCAAAAGATTCATACGCGTTCGGAGTAATAAATCGAATAAAAGGAATAGCGATCCCGTTATATATACATTGACGCTAATAAAGTCGCGTGAAAGAAAGAGAGACTCTTCATTTCTCGAGAGATCCCGCGTGACGAAATCGCGTTCGCTCATAAATTATGCTAATTTCGCGAGGTAGATCGCGATTAAATCGCGGCCAAGTACCAGTCATCTCTCCTGCCAGCGAGAGGGAGGAGAAGGGGGTCTAGTGAGGACGAGATAAAGTCGACGGAATTAGACGGGTAGAGCGCCGTCGTCATCGAGGAACAGGACGAAGGCGTGTAAGAAAGTGTAGGAAGGAGAGAAGACGACAAAATGTGTATGTGTATGAAGGAGAAAGAGAGAGAAAGGGGGGAGGAGGCGAGCAAACGAAGAATTCCATGGCAATCGTAATGGGTTTGCAGCAGCGGCAACGGCAGCAGAAGGTAATACGCCGCTGCAGGTAATAACCATCGCGTATATAACGACACGATGAGTCGTGGGTAGCTCTCGGCCCTCATGGGACCCGGGGGGAGGTCCCCCTCGATGGCTTTCACGAGGTTCCCTGGTTTCTGTCCGCGCCGATATACGCGGTGTGCCGAATACATGCAATCCCTCTCCCAATCCTCGCTTTAATCCTCTTATAATGATATCGTGGAGGAAAGATGACAAATTGTTAATTTCTTCTAAGTTAATATATCCTAGATGACAAACCGATTCCCAATTAGAGACTTTCGATAATATCCGTTGTGAAATGATGTTCAATCTGCCAACAATGTGGATAATATAATAAGAAATGGATTTCGGATACACGCGTATATAATCTTGCGGTATTCCTTCATAAGGAATTACATAATTACAGTAAATACTTTCACTTTCTCTATGAAACCACTGCACAATATATAACAAAAATCGCATATAATAATATATTAATATTTTCCATCTGTCATATTACAATCTTTTTAAACCGATAAATAAATATCTATAATAATCGAGGCACAAAAGACAAATGCCATAAGGGAATAAGAAATAATGTATTATTTTCATTCTATCTCCGATTTTTTATTTTAGTTTAAATTATGTAATTATAAAAGAGAAAGAGAGAAATTATTTTTCTTACTCCATCTCTATTTTTCTAAATTATCTTTTTATTCTATTGCGTTCTTTGTATAACAAAACGGTAAAAGGTTGACGAAAATGAAAACTTTTTATTGTGGAATTAAATCTCCTTATCTAAAGTTGAATCTTTTTATTATAAAAAAATTCATTTTAATCATGTGTTTCATTTTACACATTATTATAAATCATTTTACTCGCATACAAGAGCAAGATTATGAAATTGACAGAGAAATAGAATTTAAATAAAAAGAATTTAAATTATAAAAAATTTAATTTGTCAATTTTACGATATTTTTTATTTGTAGATAATAGAGCTTTAATTGATCGGAAAGAAATAGATTATTATTTTCGCATCATTACAGAAATGAAGAAAAATCGAATCGACATCTCACCCTCCTTTCTTCTAACGAATATAATTTCTCTTTTACATCATTAATAATCATTTATTTCGAATTGAAATACGACTGAAATTGTCTACTTTATTCACCGGGACCGAAGCAGTGACTGTGGGAAACACTGACAGCTCTTCTGTTACCGCAAAAGAGATAATTGCACCAGGTAATAACTGAGCAAATTCTTGCAAATGGGTTAGTCAGGTATACCCGCTCGCGCACTCAGACTCTCGCACGCGCTTTGACATTCGCAATTAGCAGACGAGGCGACGATCGCGATCAGCGGCATAACAAACATGCCGAGTGTTTTTACATAAGAAAGAGGAGACCACGGGAAGAAAATCAACAGCTCGCTGTTAAGATTACACGGGCGTGACAATCAACTTTACCGCATCGAGTTTCTCTTTCCCTCATAACGTATATTCACCATCGCGTTTCGCACGCTTTCAAAGAACAGACGTTATCTTTTTGAAGCTAACATTTCTCTAAAATTTCGATAAAATTCATATGAAAGATTCTATCTCTTTTTTTTGTCCGCAAAAAGAAGAGATCTCATTATTTCAGAGTCTCAGTGATTCAAATATGACACAATCCTTGATGAGAGTGACAGATTTTTTTCTATTAATATAAAATTGAAATAAATATAAATTTCTGTTCAATCATTAAATGATTGTTTAAATTTTTTCCTGGTCTTCTCTAATCTGCATTTCCCGAGAGATGCTGTGCGAAAATGTTATCGCAAGGGCATCAGGATCAGCTTCGACCTCGAAAAAAGATGACGCACTTCCTCGAATCGTCCGGTATGCGTGAATTATCGCGTAGTTGCATCAAGTCATAATCGACTTATCGGCGATACTATCTCGCGTTGTTCCGCGATGATGCGATTTCCTCCTCGCACTGGACTCTATCTCTCGTCGAGCTTCCCACAAGCTTCCGCGAACGTTCGTATCGTATCAACTTTTTGCTATCCTACGTCCTCGAGCTCGACAAGGAGCAGGAAGTAGTCATAAAAGCGCATTTGATGTATATCCTAGACACTAGTTATTTTCTCAGATCTGTCATCTTAAGGAATGAAAGCTTGTGTCAGATTCAGACCGGAACGAAAATCGCTCTCTCGACGATGCTTCAATCGAGAAGACACTTTCAATATCGGAGAAAATTTATTTCTCAATTTTATCGCACGAGAAATTCGTCACATTGAAAAAGAAGCGAATTTCTTTCTCTTGATATTTCTTTTTTGTATTATTAATCTTATTTCGAGTCTATACTTTTTGCGAATTTGAATGATTAAAGGGCAAGCGGGAGAGAAGACGACACAGAGTTCATTTTTTAATGTATCATTATTAATCGTCCACTGTCGTTTGCGTGACATCGTTATATTGACAATTCATCTATATTTACACGTTTCACATAATAATAATAATATTAATAATATTAATAGTAATCGCAATTGTATATCTCTACTACAAATATACAGATGTGCTGCGTGTGTTTGTGTATGTATACGCTGTGTTATCTTCTTGTTTTATACAAAAACGAGGGGAGGGAAATAGAAGTACGCGCCAGGGGAAAGTCTTCGCAATCTTCGTCGATATGCCTCGTCGCGAACGAAAGGCCACTATTCAGCAGGATACGGGGAGGGAGGACACGAACAAAGAGACGGTATTTTCTTAAAGAAACACATATCGTTGATTTAAATAAAAAGTAATTTAAATTCGGGAAAGTAACGAAAGGCAAAATCCTGACAAGATCAGGAGGAGGAGAATAGGAAGAAAAGGTCAAGGAAGAAATAAACGGGAATAATGGAAACCGTTCAACGATAGAGCGAGACGTATCGAATCGTCCGAAGAAGTGTAAGTACAAAAAAAATGACAACAGTTCTCTCTTTTATTACACAAATCGTAATTCGTACAACGTAATCTCGCATTTATACGCATGCGCTTCTCATTAACCCGGAGTCTGTACGCGCGCGACGGCAATTATTAAGGGAAATCGACGGAAGGAAGGAAAGGTCAAGGGGTGAAAGCCAGATGGCTGACGTTATACGTCCTTTTATTTTTTTTTTTTTCTACGCCTTCGCGCGCGAAAAAGACCCGGAAGTAAGCCTGACTTAGTCGATACTTGCGTTTCGTTTATTTAATTATCATTATCTCGTAACAGGAACATCATCAATCTTTGTTCGCTACAAATTTCTCTCTCTATCATACATCGCACACGCGTTTCTAACGCGTTAATATCGTCATCACTGTTATCGTCGCTAATCGTCTTATTAATTTTTTTTTTACGCCATGTAAAATCATCAATCGCAATCAGCAGTCACAAATAAATAATTAATTATCATCATCAATCGTGCGACCAACAACACGCAATACAATCGTCACTTATCTATCGCACGTTCGCGCGCCAAATCAGCGAGCGTGCCGCCGAAATAAAGCGTGGCCGGCATGAAAATGACGGGGAATTTTCACGAAAGCCGAACAGTGATATATTCGGGGGGAATGATCTTTTCATCCCTTCACGCGAACAAACGCGGATCGATACTGATTGATTTCTCGCGGATTCGTTCGTCCGGTGCGAATGCTCGCAAATGGAAGGACGGTCGAATTCGCGAAACTTTAACTTTGATCTTAGTTCGACCAATTCCTCCGAAAGTACGGTCGAAAAAGGATGATACAGAAAGATGAAATCTAAAAAAGATCTACACAAAATTAAGAATGTCTTCTTTTGAAAGAAATTAATTTTTTCAGGTGTCCAATTTTTAGAGACATCTCTATAAAGTCTGTTTATTTCGTCCGGGAAAAAATAGGTCGCACTATGATCAGATGTGAGAAGAAAAGGATAAGTCGATCCGATGTTCCTATGCGTGATCAGTTCTTCTCTCTTCCCCCCCTTTTGGTTTTCCCCTCGAATCGTCTCTCACTGATTTCGGCACCGAATCGCTTCGAAATAAACCGCATCATCGTCGAAACGCCGTTGTCGACGACGTCGGGTCTCTATTTCTCACTGTTCATTTTTTACGTATATATATATTTATATATATATATTTATTTTATAATATTATATTTGCATAATTTATACACATCTATTCGTTTATCTGTCCAACCGTACGTAGCGCGAATGTTTCGTCAAATGTCATATCTGGAGAATAGTCGGAAGATATTTTGTAAGAAATAGATTTTAGATTTCTTGACACGAAGAAAAGCCGCGCGCGATTTTTTCAGAATTTTTCAGACCGGTGGACGAACCATCGTCCTCGACTCTTTTTCATCATTTTCACACGTAAGAAAAGTTCTACATAGTTCGATGAAAATATATCGAAGGATACATGCAGGCTTTCCTCTCCATAGAATTTTTGATATCCTTGTGTTTGCTATAAAACATTCCTCGCATTCATTGAAAGCTAGAAAATTGCCCATCGATCGGCACAATCAAAATGGCATTTCCGGATTAAAGGATCATCTTTCGTTCAGTTGGAGACAAGTTGTGAAACAGTTTAATGTTTCACAATCGATTTCATCAACCGCGTTTAACTTTAATCTTAGTTCAACTCACTCTTTGTCTCTTTCTAAAAAAAGAGTTAGGAGATAAAGAGTGAGTTAAACTAAGATTAAAGTTAAACGCGATTGGTGAAATGGGGCATAAAGGACCTGTGCTCGAGTCACTTGACTGATTGGGGTTGTCGTTGAAACGGAGACACCCAAAAAGTCGAGCGCACGTTCTCTCTCCTGTCAATTTTTCATTAAACTCAAATTCATTATCGCTGCCCTAAACTTCGGAAATTCACTTGACCAATGAACCAAACAAAGGAATGTAACTGATTAAAAAAAAAAAAGAAAAAAGAAGAATAAGCATAGACTATAGACATATTAACATAAACTGCTCATAAGATAGCGAGGAGTGTCCTCCTGAGAAAAAAGGATAGCATGAATTTATTTGTGTTTCTATCTTTTTGTGGCACACGCGTGATGCAATTTCAAGTTATTAAAGTCAATAACTTGAAATTACATCACAAAAAGATAGATACACAAATTAACCTAACCACTTAGGTAACCCACTTAGGTTCCATGGTCTTATAAGCAGTCTATGTTGATGTCTATGGACTTATAAAAAAGACTGCGCATCCCTATACAAAAGACTGTCCTAAACATTTAGAAAGAGAGAGCGATTTCTCTCTCGCATCATTGAAGGAGAAAGAAAGAGATCCGACCGCTATCGCTCTCTCTTTTTAATGTTTAAAAGACAGTCTTTTGTACAGGAATGCGCAGTCTATTTCTATAAGTCTGAAAATAAGAAGCAATGTTAATGCTAAACATTATTCTCAAAGACACAACATTGTTGAAGATGCTGGTTCGGTTCAACTCTCTCGTTCGCGACTACGTATACACACAAATACGATACACATGCGCTCTCTCTTTCTCACTTTTTCTTCATCTCACTCTCTCGCATACATAAGATCGCTCGCTATCGCACTCTCGCTCTGATCGGCAGCCGAGAGCAGCTCGGTCACTCAAATTTGAAAAAAAAAAAGAAAAGAAAAACTAATACCGGGAACATGAGATAATGCGATACGAGTTGCAATAATATTACTAATAATAATAATCAATAGCAATCGCGATAATACAACATAAGTAAATAACAATAATAATAAATTAGTTCTGTACAGAGTTTCACGTTCGAGCACGATATATAATATTAATACCTAAGAAATCGGGTCGGCGACTTACGAGGGAATCCGCCGACCCCCACAGCATCGCGTTAATTTTCTCCTTCTCTTCATCTCTCGATCGAATGTCTTTGTCGCCAGTCCATCGTTCTTCTTGTCCCGGCGCAACATCGGGACGAAACGCCCTACTCGTCGTCGGCGGAGCCGATCACGGATGCGCGACGTGCCTTTCGCTCGTAAAGGGGAATTGTGATCAAAAATTAAAAAAACAGGAAAAGGATGGAAAAAGAAAGGAATAAACGTTCACAGGCATCCGCGAGACGAAGGCGTCGCGGCGGCGCCGCCCGAGAAAATCGAACGAGAAATCGAACAGGATGGTCCGTCAATTCACGCACACGCACTGGCTCTAAATCCCTCTCACATTCTTTCACCCTCATCCTCTCTATCACTCTAAATGGAGTCTACTATATATGTCCGGCGTCCGGAGGACACTACTACACCTCTGTCGCGAGCGTCGCCGCCAACGTGGCGTCGTGCCTGTAATGATCGTCTATCACATACACACCGCAACTACTATTGTCCGTGGCACCACTATTACTAACACCGCCACCACTTCCCGGTGGACCGCTACTACTACCACCAGCAACGACGGTGACGCCGCTGATGGTTTCCGATATCGTCGTCGGCCTCTTCATCAGCGCGGCCTCCGTAGCGCTGCAACAACTGTCCGTTACGTTGCCGGCAACTGCAGCAAACACGGATGACCTCTTGGCGCTTTCTAGGACCCCGATGCCGAGGCCCAGACCGAGACAGTCTTTCTCCTTCTGGTAGAGATGGGCGGATGCCCGATGGGCAGCCGCTTCCGTGTTCAGCTGCTTCATCGTCCTCGTCGTCCGGCCATCCTGCAGCACCGGCTCCGGTTTATACCCCGAACACGTGCTGTCGAGTGTCACGTCCGTCTGGAACGACGAATCTAGATCGTCCTGCCGCGCTGCAGAGGCGACGTTGTTCACGCTCTTGCTTGCCGTCCAGGTGTTCTTGATCATGTGTGCGTCTCCCGTGCCTAGAGCGCAGACACTACCGCTGCCAGTGCCAATCAGGCCGCTACCGGCACCGCCGAGTAAACCACCGACGCTGCCAAGACCGCTGCCGCCTCCGCCGAGACCACTACCGACACCACCACCGACGCCACCGACGCCGATGGTGCTGGCGCTACGCTTGCTCATACTACTGTGCACCGCGTTTCTCTCATTTTGCAGTCTCGCCTCCTCATCGGCCTTTGCCTGTTCCCGTTTCTGTCGTCTCTTCATGCACATCACCGCCACTGCGGCGAACAACGCAAAAGCCGGGACCGCCGTAGAGAGGGTCGCGATCATGACAACGTGTTCCGTGGTCAGGCTGGCGTCTCTAGAAGCAACGTGCTTGGAAAGATTGCCGGGCCAGTGACTTGAAGATGATTCAGCCGGCGGCGCCGCCTTCCTAATCAGCAAAATCGTAGATGAGGATGGTAGAGCAGCCGGTGGACCTACGACTGCGCCCGCTTTTTCGGCGCAGATGTCGCCGTGCCAGCCGTTCGGACAGTCGCATAGGAAACCGTTGACGCGGTTCCGGCACGTGCCGCCGTTTCGACACGGTGAGCTTCGGCACTCGTCTACGTCCACGCTACAGTCTTTACCGGTGAAGCCAGGCTTGCATACGCAACGATAATCATTGATCCCAGAGATACATCTGCCACCATTCGCGCACGGCTTTGCCAGGCAATAGTCTACCTTATCTTGGCAGAGTTGACCGACGTAACCCGGCACACATTGACAGCGGAAGCTGTTCACCTGGTCCACGCACGTGCCGCCGTGCTCGCACAGATTGTCCTCACAGTCGTCCTCATTGATCTCGCAGTGTTTGCCAGTGAAGCCGGTCAGGCAGGTACATTGATAACTATTGACGTAATCGGTGCAAGTGCCATTGTTCACGCAGGGATTCGGAATGCATTCGTCGATTTGTGATTCGCAGTTGGCACCCGTATAACCGGGTGGGCAATGACATAGATAGCCGTGTACAGAATCGTCCTCGCATTTGGCATCGTGTTGACAGGGCGAATCCCGGCAAGATTTCGTCGTCATCTCACAATGTGAACCGCGCCAACCGGGCGGACAGGTGCAACGATAGGTGCGATGTTGCTGCTGCCTGGAAGAAGATTCGGTGCCGTTGACGTAGCCGCTGCCTGTAGATGATTCCTGCATCGAGCAGGTACCTCCGTTTTGGCAGGGCTTCGAGTGACAATCGAAGAGCGGCGTCTGGCACTCGGAGCCGGTGAAACCTGACGGGCACGAGCAGGTGTACAGGCCTTGACCGGTGTTGAAGCAGGTGCCGCCGTTCAGGCACGGCTTATGATTCGTGCAATAGTTGAGGTCCTGGTTGCAGAACAGTCCGCCCCAACCTTCGTCGCACGAGCACTCCCAGGGTTTTTGGCAGCTACCGTGAAGGCAGCCCGGGTATCGGACGCACTGATTGCATTGCGGACCTTTCCAGCCGCTGTGACATCTGCAACAAAACGACAGGACGCGGTTCTTTAGTAACGACGCTCGGATGCTGACGCAAAAGGAATAAATCAAAAAGCTGACGCATATCGTATGTATCTACAATCAGTAGGATGAATGGACGACGAAGGTATGTCACGTTTTCGCAAAAAGGCTGAATCATCCTCTCACGAAGATAAATCATTCTTTCCTAACTGTACATCGAGCCTGTCCGGGATAAGAATTTAGTGAAGTTGTCGCGCGGACGGATGATCCATGCGCAGCATTGGTGTTACTGAATTGGGTTAGACTATTAGCCATGTCATGCTGTTTTGACGGAGATCCGTGAAGTGAAGTTGAATCTCCGTACTTCGATACTTCAGAGCTCCTACCTCTTTTCCCCACGTCCCCTATCCTCTGTCGGTCACGAGGAGAGTTTCACCGGTGACGGACGGAAAGCAGTCACGGGCAGAAGAAGAGGGTCGACAAAATCCCGGTGCATGAGGAAGACTCTCGCGAGGGGAAGGAGACGCGAGGCAGAGAGACAGAGGTCGGCGACGAGCATCGAAAGACGCGCGCAAACGTGTACGATATACACGCGACGAGTCAAGCGGGGACAGGACGATGGGAGAGACTTCTCGACACAGAACCGAAGAAAGAAAAGATTCGCGCTCCGTACGCGGAGAGAAAGAAAGCGCTATGTAGTGACAGAAGGAATATCTTAAAGGTGAATAAGGAAGAGAAAGAGAGAGAGAGAGGAATAAAGAGCCGAGAAAGAAGAATGAAGAGGGTGACGTGCCAGGAGATGAGGAGGATATCGCCGGTCGGCCATTACACGCGGGGGTTATGCTTTACGAAGAATGAAGGGGAAAGAGAGGAAGATAGAGAAAGAGGAAAAAGATGGAATGAGAGACGGAATGAAAAGAAGATGCTACGTGTGTGCGTCGCGCGCGCACATACACGGTTACAGAGAAACAGCTTCACCGTGAGCGCAGGGTGCGCACGAGAAAGAGGAACGGGACGTGGAGAAGGGGGGCCCAAGGTGGCGCGAGCGGGAAGAACCAGCCGCCAAAGGATGAAGGAAGGGGCCCGGGACGCGAGAGAGTAAGAGAGGCGATAGCGCGGAGGACAAGTTTGCGGAAAGCGGAGAGAGAGAGAGAGGAAAAGAAGCGGGACCGACGGTGCGGAGAGAGGGGAGGGAAGAGACCAGGAGAAGAGAAGGAGATAGAATTCTGACGCAGAGGTGGGGGATGAGTTGTCGAGTAGTGTGTTCCCACGGTTCGAGCCTCGGCACAGCCGTTCAGTATGCGGGTCAAGGAAAGGTTACGCTCTTCCATGTGTGTGTGCGTGTGCGCTCGCGATGCCCACTCTATTACTCGTACACGTCGCTATACGATCGCGCTCTCTCTTTCTCTCTCTCTTTGTCGCCGCGGTCTCTATCGCAGTTGGAGGGAAAGAGAGAGTAAGAGGATGAAGATACGAAGAAGAGAGAGGCAGATAGAGAAAGATGAACGGAGAAGATCAAGAAGACGAGACGGCGGAGGGAAGAAAACTGCAGCCGTCGCAAAACTATACTATTAAAACCCTATGTATACGAAGAGGGAGAGAGATAGAGAATTCGCCGCGACCTGAAACGAGTAGGAGAGAGAGAGAGAGAAAGACAGAAAAAGGGTGCAAAAAGATAGAAAGGTGACGAAGAAAGAGATGGCGAGGGGAGACGGTGAAAAACGGGACGAAGGGGGTTGAATGCCGAGCGAACTGTGCCGCTCCTCTAAAGAGACGAAGATGAAGGAGGTACATCTACTACTTCTGTTTCTGCGGCTAGGCCGACAGAGTCGCGACTATGCCATAATTACCGCTGGGAGATAGGTCATGCACCGGACGAGGGGGAGGGGAAAGGGATACAGCGGAGGATCGGCTCGTTCCTCTGGCTGGCCGTTATGGAAATTCCGCGTGCACGATATGCGCGAGGGCTCGGTTAAATGTCTCTCTTGCTGAACGAGATGAGAATGATTTCTCTCTCTCTCTCTTTCTCTCTCTCTCTCTCTCTCTTTCTCTCTTTTCTCCTCGATGCGAAGATACCGCGCCACGATTCGAGACGCGAGTGCGTTCTTTGACCTTTGTGTTATTACGCGGCCGGGATTTAAACGGGATGCCGAAACAATATATCGAGAGATCCACGAAGATTCGAGATTGTATTTCTCGGATAAAAAAAAATCCGTGCTTATGTATCACTGAAATATATGTACAGAGAACACAAAGTAACGTCAAAGTTCGTGAAACGCATCCTTTATATTAATTTCGTAAAAATTTCATGTGTCCAAACATGACAGGTGTGTTTTATGGCTTTATCTTGATCTTACCTTTTCACGACGATATCGTTCGACACTTTCACATCAAGAGACGAGATCGTATATTGTCGTTGCATCGTCATCAGTATTCGCAGTCGCCACACGCACGCACGACTCCGAAATTTCAATGGGAGGACGATGGCCGCGATTCGTTCGCGAGCGCGGGAACTTACGATATTCCACGGAGACCTATCGTCTTAAAAAAAAAGAGAGAGAGAGAGAGAGAGAGAGAAACGATCGTTATCATCCTTTCCGAGTATATACGCAAATATACGCCGCGCGACTGAAAACGAGCGTATCGTAATTCCATTCCCGCAATCTACGTAATTATCTATCGATCGAGGTGACGTGCGTTAGCTATTGTTCGTACATGTGTTGGAGTGCGATCAAGGTTAACACGCCGATCAAATTCCGTTACACCCCGTGTAATGAAATTTTTATTCATCAGCTTTCGAAAAAAAAAAGAGAGAGAGAGAGAGACTCAAGGCTACATAAAATCTGCCAAACGGAGGTAACGCATGTATCTGACAAAAAGATGATATATAAGATGGTCCAATAATTATTGTCATCATTTTCGAAAATTATAGCGATTGAAGGAAAATTTATTGAAGAAAAATCACATTATATATAAAGAAAAGAAACTATGAACGTTTTCTCTAAATACACAAATTTTCAGGAGATGTAAAGATCAGCTTTTACGGGGTATGATTTTTATAAATATTACGACTCTTCTAATATATTCTGCTATAAAAGTGTTAATGCAAAATTATTATCGTAGTTTATACGAAATATATCTTGTTTATTTTAACATATTGTGACGTAAAATAAGAACCGCGAAGGAATTTTGCCGCAATTTATGCAGCTTACTCATTTACTTCTCCGCAAGAACGCGGGAAAATATTCGTAACGTAATAATAGTGAAATATTTGCTAATTGATTTTTCAAAAAGAGGAAGCTAAAATTGGTTCCGCGAATCTCGTTGCATTCTCGGATTGAGTCATTCGGCATTCCCGGATGCAAGCACGCATAGTTCGCATAGTGCGTCCGCCGCCGCGAGAAACTCTCGATATTCATGCCGGAGAACTCGCGGCGACGAGGCACATTTCGCGGTGCGGGAAAATCCACAGTCGTTCCTCCTTTCACAATCGTGCACCTTCGAACCTCGCGATGACGCGACGGCACCGATTTCAATGAAGGGAACGGCGCTCGAGAAGCGAACGTTGCAGAGAGAACGAGAAAGATATTAAAAAAATCAAGCTATTTAAAAACGCCTTTCGAATATCAAATGGGAAAAATTACTCGAATTATCCTCTTGCAAAAAATTAATGTTAAATATATCTGATAATATCTGATAATATTTGACTACTATATTTATATTTTATTTATAAACTAGATATAATATTTTTTCTTTCAAAAAATTCAACAAATTTCAAAAAAGGAAAATTAGCAAGAAAATAATTGAAAAATCACGAGAACTAAACCGACTGATGGATGAGACACGACTGGTGAACCCATGGCTGCGACTAACGGGACAATTAACCCCGGTCGTAGAGTAATTAGATGATCGAGTTAACTCCAAACCCTCGGGTTAACACTGTCCGAGATTCTGTCGGCGAGAAACGCGTGACATTCGCGATGCATCTCCCTGAATAAGACGAGTCATTATATTACTTAACTGCGCTTCTGTATTCTGCACAATTGCTCTTGCTCACAGCAAAAGTATGAGCCTTAATATTTGATATCAAATATGAAACTTAATTACACGATTCTCTTCAAATATTTTTCTAAAAAATTTTATAAATTAAAGGAGCTATCTGATAAAAATTACAAATTGCAAAATTACAAATTGCTTACAAATTGCTTGTATATAAATAGAATACACGTATATCTGCTGAAGAAAGGGGAGAAGATTAGACCGGAGTTATGCGAACGATTTTCAGCGCGAGTGCGGAAACTCGACGTCGAGGATCCCGGAATTTTGCCAAACGGCAAATTAAATTGGAAGGTTCAATGGCACGTCGAGCGGCGAGAGACAAAGACAGGGAAAAATAGAGAGAAAAGAGAGAAGAAAGATAGAAAGACGGCAAAATCGAGGGAGAAGAAAGAGAAAGGGGAGGAAGAAAGGGCAGGAACGATTGGCACCTCGGAAAGTGCCTCGTTAAAACGGGAAGGAGCCGGGAAGCTTCGAATTCCGCTTCGTTCTTCCTTTCCGTACTCGTAAAAGCGTTACGAAAATATGCGTAAGATAATATTATATACAATATATTACATATACACACACACACACAATATACGAACACACACACGCGCACACTTGTAAATGCCGTCGCAAATGCGCGGCGTCGTAACAGGACCTTTACGTCCCTAAGGAGATCCGCGACGCGTATCTTTGGCCTTTAAATTAGCAGTAACATTATACCGGCATGCCGTGGAATTATTAATTAAAATTGTTGAATCGAAATTATTTAACAAAACAGGATTTTAATACTTATTCGCGTTCTTCGTGCTTCTTGTCGGCATAAAATGCATAACAGATTTATAGCATTTTAAGAGCAAATAAATTCGTTAAACCGGTGAACTACCGGCTTGTTTCCTTACAAAAAGAGACAAGAGAAAATGTCTTCAACTTGCTATATTAAATTTTAAGAATATATGAAAAAAAAAAAATTAATAATATTATATGTTAATTTTATTTGCTGCTTGAATTCACTCTAAGAGAATAATAAATATCAATTTCTGAAAATTAGACTATTTATCACTAACGAAAGAAGACGAAAAAGAAATTTTTTTACAAAAGTTATTTTTTTGACTTGTGTTGTTTCTAACATTTAGCATTATTACACTAAATAATTTAAAAAATTAATAAATAATTTATCAAGTTCTATGTACATTTAAAAAATTTCGTAATTTCGTGATTGTTCAGGGAGCGAAGAGGGTGTATTTTCTCTGTAAACGAAAATTCTGACATTTCGCGAGAGGATGGAATAAATAATTTCGGAATATGTAGTCTCCGCATAGCTACATGCGTTACCGGCAACGTGACGTGGATCTACTGTGGTTGCTACAGCCGACCCCCGTGTGCTTTTTTTCGGAACCGCGTCGAACGATAATTTACGATAGGTATGCGCGTAATTATTATCGCGCTTACATGCATACGCCACGCCGGTGCATACAGAAGAGTGGATGCACCGTGTCGGGGCCCAGGAATTTAGTCGGTGATTGTATGAGGCAATGCAACGTACACAGACACACGCATACACGTGCACACACGCATATACGTGCGTGGATACAAGTATTTAAGTATACACATATATATGTATATCTATATATATATATATATATATATATATATATATATATATATGTACTCACAAGCATTCGTTGGGTAGATTGCAGTGTCCGTGCTGTTCGTCGCATCCGGGCAGGCAGCGGGCTGAAATGAGTAAGAAAAAATCCAAGAGGTTAAGGCAACTCTCGGCGAGAGGTCGATCGCGTCCCTCACGATTGCACGAGCGAGCGGTGCATACGGTACGTGCATGTACGGTACGATGCATGCATATCACGCGTACGGTAGTATGTAGTCCGTCCACCCTTATATTTCGAGATGTAAAATATTTTGTTTTTTTTTTCTTCTCTTTCTCCACGTTTCTATATCTCTGCAATTATATTCAGAAACGCACAGGACTGGGTAATTTGACTGATTCTTCTCAATCGCTACTTTGTGTATGCAATTTTTTTCGCGTGTGTATCTCTATATTTCACACTTTTTTTATAAATTTATTTATATTATATTTTGGAATATTATTTTATACAATAAGAGAAATATGTAATAAATGAGAGATAAGAGAAAATGTTATTATAATAAAAAATATTTTATATTTTATTATTTTATTATTTTATTATCTCACTATTGTATAAATATTCACAATGAAAGATATATAGAATAAATATTTAAAATATTAACAAAAAAAAAATATATATATAATGAAAATATTATTTTTTCTATTTCCATGAAATTGCACATATCTATATCTCTTTATTTCTATTTTTATTTTTCTCAAGTTAATAAGTTTTCAGAACACCCATTTTTTCTTTTATCTGCAAATGCTAGTGATAATAATAATTAATGTCGAGAACGCGCTAATACAGGAAATGGGATTAACGTACAGGTGATGGTACCGGTAACGATGGACGCGTATTCCATTTCCTTATCGGACAAGTAAACCACGAACGAGCGATTCGGTCGAATTCAAGGGGCGCGTACGACAACCTTCTCCTTCCTGACTTCCCTCCGGATGCGGGCCACTTAAACACGAGGAGAGTGACGCCACGTGCGACGTAAAGCGTTTACCACGCGTCTCGATGTAAACTGTGTCGATCATAGTTTTCCTTGCCGTATAACGCGAACAGGAACACTACCGATAGCTATCGATCAACTGATCGGAGCGGATATTTGCGGACGTGGAGACAAGACACGTGACAAAATTTTATTACCTCGTCCGTTCAGATTTCTTCCTGTCTCTATCGAGTATGAGACAATCAATTATGACTCTCATAGGATTCTCTTACGCGTGAACAATCAAGTTTGTTAAAAAATGCTAGGCAAAATTTATATTCAAGAAGATATATATATGATACATCGATATGTCGGGAAAGCTTACTAGGACAGCGTTATCATTCATTACAAGGTGCAATTAAAGTTTGTCAGCCTGGCTCAAAAATAAAAGTAACGATCTAGCCCGGAGAAAAAGAAAGATCCCGGTGCGCTCGGTCAATGAAGGGGTTGAGAGGACGGCGGTTCAACGTTTCCGACGCGGCTCTGCGCAGGGCCGGCGAGCAGGGCCCCGGCAGCGGCGACGACGAGGGCCCCGTGACCTTGGCACCGAGCGCAACGGCCCGACTCGCCACGACCGGACGGACGGACGGACTTTGGTGCGGAGCGGCTTCGCCGCGCGCTAAGGAGTATGGTATTTATAGAGCGAAGAACGAGAGAGAGAAAGAGAGAGAGAGATACGGCCCCCCTCGATCCCGCCGTCAGGGTCTCTTCTGCTGATCTCTCGTCCTCCCCGACCCGCCGACGACGAACGACCGAATCGCAGAGATTCCACCAACGAGAGATTCCTCTCTGCCTCTACCACCTTTTCTTCGTACCGTTGGCGGAGAAGAAGAAAAGGGAAGAAGGGTCTTTCTTCTTCTTCTTTTTCTTCTTTCCTCGGGGAAAGGGAGGAGTAAAGAGGAACGAATGACTAAACAAATCTCGTAAGCCGCGACAAATCTTGCCCCTCGAGGATTATTTACGGCCGATTCGCGACCGCGCGATTTTTCGAGATAAAACCACGCGAGGTGGACTATAAATTCACCCGGGTGTTTCGCCCCATCTCACGCGGGGAACCTTCGGAGCCGGCCAGAGTCGTTCCGAGAAGCCAAGAAGAAGATATCGAGAAGATGTCCTCTCGCGCGTTTTATTCGACGTGATATTTAAATGATTACATTTCTCATCAAGTCAAAAAGAACTCAACAAAATATCGAATCATAAATTTACATACCGACATTTTGCCAAATTTCTCGATTGATGTGAATCATATTTTTAGAAATATTGCAAGCAATTGAAGCCGGTTATTAGGTCAGACTTGTAACGAGATGAATTATAGTAGCAATTTTCAGTTTAACTTGATTGTAAATTTCACTGCTGATTGGAAGCATTAATTAACTCGTTTGAAGTATTAACTTGTTTTCATTTTCGTATAATCAAATCGACCTAATTAAATATCTGTCAATTATATATTCTGCTGCATACATTAGTCATTATTACTTTATCACAATTGTTGATTAAATCGTAAATATTCTAAAATTATGCACGCGTCGACATGAAAGCAGAGGAACTCGTTCATTTTGAAATTTTTTAAATTCCTTCTGAATGAAAAAAGAAACGAATTTTATTTTAATTTGAACATGAAAAAAACCAATTATTCCACAAACTGTTATTCGATTAACGACACCGAGAATTAAAAAAAAAAAAGTTGCAAATAAGCGATGAGTGTAATATTGGATGAGTGAAATATGCAGACTGGGTTATGAAATTCATCGGTTCCCTTTAAATTCCCGACCCCGTGGCAGATAAAGAAAAAACGCGACAAAGAAAGAAAAACTACACATGTAGCTGCAGTCGGTGTTGCACCCTACGAAATTCCCCGGTTCCGCAACGTACTTATTGATTTTCTATCCCCGGCCAACCGATTTCCCTTCGTCGAAACGGTCACGAGGCCCCCGATGATAAAAAAAAAACAGAGTACCGTCCATCCATCTCCGCTTTATAACTTCACTATCAGGCTCTGTCTTTCTCTTTTTGCTTTACGAGAATAGTTTTTCGGCCACGTAGTACCTGTGATCCAACATGTTAATTTGAATAGTTATTTGAATTTAGTCAAACCTAACGAATCGAAATAGTTGAAAAATAAGATGAGATTTCCGCTTAAAAACTCTAAAATTCTCTGAATTTCTGACTTTTACAATCATTTTTTCTAAGAAGAGATCTTTTCTTTTATAAGAACTAGGATTTTTACGGCCGGAAATTGCAGCTATTGTTAAGTGTTAAACGATGTGACGGTCAAGTGACGCATCCTTAGAAATTTACAGCTGTTATTCTATTATTAACGTTTTCTTTTTTGTTGAGACATGACAGACTTGAATGCGATTATTTTTTCAAACAGCTATAATCGAGCCATGAAAGAAGGAAGGATGGGTATAGGATAGTAGGTAGTAGTAGGTAGGTAGAAAAATTCGATCAAGTAGACGAGAGGAGAGAAGAGAGACGTATTCGGAAAAACGTTTCGTAGCCTAGGGATGGCAAAAAACTATGGGGATGAGAGGAAAGAAGGAGAACATAGAGAAGCCGGAATGGAAGTGGACTGCAAACGTAAGTCTGGAGCAGCTGTTGGTTAAAGCACCGACCTCGGTGCAGCTGTCAGGCCCCGACCCGTTCGGACCTCTCTTTCGTTCAGGCCTGGCTCTCTTCGCGCGTTGCCAGCTGCTTTCTGTCTCTCTCTCTTTTTCCCCCGCGTGCCCGCTAACAACCCCCATATAAAACGCAGTCGCACCCCCGAAAGAGCCCGACTCTGCCTGCAGCAGACTATTCTTAACTCACCCCTCTCACTACGGGGGTTAACGAGAGACGAAAGATTAACCCTTCGCCGCTTCTGCAGTGAATTCATCGAAGCGGTTGGGACGAAAATGCGTATTCGGCAATTCGGAGACGACTTTTTCGGCAGAAATCGATTAAACGAAAAGCTAGGGAAGTATAGATGAAAAGGTGACGAGAGAAGTCAAGGATGAGGGAAAGGTCTAGACAGATTTAATGCGTTTGAAAAGATATCACTGATACTCGAGAGGTAAAAATTCGCTTATATGCAAAATACAGTGTCGTATAATAATCAATCTGTAATCAATTTCCTGATACTTAACTTTAATAAATGAAATGTATAAAGAATGCTCTCATGTTTCTGCGAACATTGCAAGTTTTTCACGGTGAATCGAGAGAGAGAGAGAGAGAAGAAAGAAAAGTACTGCCAGAATTCGGGAAGATACGATGCGGAAGTAGTGAAGTTAAACGCGAGATACCGCGAACGCGGATATTTCTTGTTTTAACGAAGAAGTGAAAGTTCTTTTGTGTTCTCGCGAGACTCGTTCCGAAGGAGAGTCTGCGCCGTCTGCGCCCCGCTCATGATTTAAATCGTATATTTTCCGACGTTTCGCGGCGACAGTGATTTCACCTTCTTAATAGGCCGCATAATAATCGTATGGGAACCATATTACGGTAACGAATAATCGACCATTTTCGTCGTCTCGTATTATCAAAGTTAAATATCTCCTTTAATCCTTTCTTTTTCGCCGTGAAAAAAATAATGGAAATTACGCGATGTTAATAAAGATCAGCTGATTGGGCGCGATGTTAATAAAGATCAGCTGATTGGTCTTAAAATTCTTGTATTAAACTCCATTCTTTTAAGACGTTGGAGAAAGTAGGATATAAAGTCCATGAAAGATGGTTTCGCGGAAGATCGATTCTTCGAGGAATGTCCACGAAATGAAGTGTAAGCAGTCCATTAGTAATCGGTGCGCGAACTTTGTCGATCGCGACGAGCGCGCCGAGCGGCGTCGAGAGTGCAACGACCGGGGGGACCGACGGGCCTCACACGCGGGGAGACTTCGCCTACGATCGATCGGTATCGAGAAAGTCTGGAATTCGGGATCCGAGAATTGGCGAGGAAAGCTTGTGGGAAAGCGGAGACATTAATCGCTTCATATAAGAACAGAACGGTGTACCTTGTAAAACCACGGCTTGTATATCTCTGTGTAACGTTCTATGCGTGACGATATCAAAATCAATTATTTTATAACAATTTAGTTGTTATTTATGTATATTTATGTATATTTATATTTTAAGTTTTGGATTAAATTTTGGAGCTTCGTATTTTTCTCGTAAGAAATTCTAAATTATATTCTGCAGTTAAATGATGCACCGTTATTTTATATATTACACATTAATAATATATGTTATTAAATGTAATATAGTGTGTTATAAATGTAATGAATATTCGAATACAATAAAATTTCATTAACACGGAGAATTAATATGACAGTGACTTATCTGTGATATTGTATTATTATATGTAAGTAATATGTATGAAACATAAAACTCAAAGTTACAAGAGAGAATTACAATAATATTTTATATCAAATAAGAATTTAAATGTCAAGTATACAATTTACAGCTAGGTGAAAATAAATTTTAAAAAATATTAAATAATTTTTAGTCCCACATTTTGCGTTGTGTATATTCCAATTTTTCATTCAAGACCGGCAAGTGTGATGAATTGTAGAACTCAACTGCGTAAGTTTTCCGAATCTGTCTTCTATATGAAAGTGAGCGACACTTGTGGCGCGGTTCGCCTATTGTCGCGAGGACAATTCGGCACAATCTGACCCGGGTCTCGAGTTGCCTGAATCAAAAGGCGGATGCGACGAAGCCGCTTCCTTTGCGAATGAAAACCACCTTTGTACGTGGTACAGGTACGTAGTCGAACACCAGGTGCGGATACGTACCTGTACGTATCAAAGAGAGGGAAAGAGAGGAGGGGGAGAGAGAGAAAGAGAGAGCCGGGAGCTTCGGCGTCGACGACTGTCCGACTCCAGCAACACGGCCATCCCCGTTCGACTCTCGCGTGGAGTCTCCGAGGAGTGAGCGAGGACGAAAGAGAAAGAAAGAGGATAAAGAGAAAGAGAGAGAGACTGCCACACACGAAGGCAGATTTCGCCTCCTCTCGCCTCCTCCCGCCTCCATCGCTCAACACAGTCTCGGATCATTACACGTGCACACAGATTAGTTAGTTCTCGGTCGGCACGCAGGTACGCGAGAGAGAAAGAGAGAGTCGAGAGGGCGAAGGAGGAGAGGGATGCTGCTGTTGCTGCAGCAGTCGGGTCGCGCGGACAAGAGGAGGGCGAGAGAGCTCGAGAGAAGAGACGAAAGAAGAGAGAGAGAGGGAGATACTCGCACACGCGCGAGCTTAAGCGTGGGAAGCTGCTGCACGCTTCGAAGTCTCGGCGCACCGGGCCTCTCCTTCGGTCGGGCTTTGAAACAGAGCGCGAGGATAAGGATGCGGAGAACGTTCGCGCGAGAGTATCGTCGTATTACGTCGAGATAGCGAGGTCGGTACTCGGGCAGGGATCGATAGGAATCAGCTGCCTGTTAATAATCGCGCAAACTGGCAGGATCGACGAATTTTTTTCAGCGATCGTTTAATCGCGACCGCGAATCAAGAAACTTATCATCGATCATAATCCATTTGTCGATGGTTAATCAACTGCTTGCTCGATCTTTCAGTCTAAATATATAATTAGCATTGAAATATATAATTATAACTAGGATTCTTCAATTTTTACGAGAGATCGATCTGTCGGACGCGCGTGCAATCGTGAGGGAAAACGCATGATAAATTAATATCCCGCTACCACTTGAGTAGTAGTTACAGGATGCGATATTATACTGGCCAAAATGTATCACCTTTATGTTTTTTTTTGAGAATAACTTAACTCAAAATGAATAACTTAATTCAAAGTGTATAGATATACAATATTTTTGTCTAATCGCATGTTTTAATAGTAGGTATATAGATTACTTAACAATAAACTTTTCATTAAATAATGAACACAGCGACTTAAGAAAAATTAATTAAATATATACACTTTCAAATTATCCTTTTAAATTATCCTCAAGAAAAGGTGATATATTTTTGACCGGTACTGTATATGTATAGTTGATGACTTACGGGTGTTGCAATAGTCGCCCTTCCAGCCGGATAGGCAGACACGCTCGCCGGTTGGGCTACAGCTGTAGTGGCCGAAATTGTCGTCCCTGGGTCGGCACAGATTTTCGCATCCCTTGCCGTAATAATGTGCCACGCATGTCACCCTATACTCGTACTCCATCTCCGAATGGGCGCTCCTGTGCTCGTCGACGGTCCACTCTGGTCCGACGTCCAGCCATTTCTGGGTGGTCAGCCGCGTAATCAGTATTTTCTCTGAAAAGATCATACGTTCCTTTGAGCGATTTTTCACAGTTCAACAATTATTTTCGAGACGAGCGCTCTTTATACTGTATCCTAAGACTGTCATAAATCTATGTCAATACTTAAAAATACGGGGGAATAGTGGATCGCATAGATAATACACAAAATGTCTCACACGAGTAGAATATAGATTGGATATATCATATATTCTGGAAAATGATGCATTTTCGGAAATTTTGCCGGAGAAAAAGATGCTTACTTTTTGACAGAAAATACAATATTACTCTATATATCCTATATAAAACACTTGTATATAAATATACAAACATAAATATATTATTATATTAATTTTAAAAAAATTGTGTATATCGCTATGGCCGAATCGAGATGTATAAGAATAATTACCCAGCACGTCCAGTGTCAGACAGAGCAACGAGGTGCACCCAATGATGCGATCGAAGTGCATCGGCCCTCCGAAAGAGAGAGAGAGAGAGAGAGAGAGAGAGAGAGAGAGAGAGAGAGAGGCAGAGAAAAGAAGAGAGAAAGAGAAAGAGAAGGCAGACCGGACGTTCGTCCGCTATTGCTACTCTGTCGGCGGCACGCATCCGGCACAAAGAGAGTAAGCGTATACCACGTTGCGGCTCTGGGAAAGAGGCGTCCTTCTTCCCTCTCTCTTTCTCTCTGTCCTCGTCTTCGCCTGCGGCTCGTCCTCTCGTCCGGTGTTGTCTCTACTCGCTTTCGTGTAAACTGAACGAGCGGAGGCTACAGAGAGGCCTTCCTTATAAGGGCGCATTATCGTAATAGCCCCGGCAGATTAGAATCCTACTCGGTCGGGCTACTACGCGATCAGGTGCCCTACCGAAAAACCTGCATCTCACGGCACCGGTTTTCGGTACACGCGCGTCCTGGATCCGCGAACTGGACCCAGAGAAACTGGTAACGTACAAAGTCTATCGCGTGCACCCTCTCAGAAAGGATTTCTGATAACAAGACGAAAAATATTCTTGACACATTTAATCTCGTCACAATCTTATGTAGTATAAAAATGAAACAATTTTAAAACTAAAACAATAATTCTTATTCCTCTCTCTCTCGAATTAAATAAGATTGTCTTTATAATTTGAAAACAAGAATAATATAAGAAATCTAAGCTATATATTCTTGCACTTGCAATAATTTCATATTAGCGCCAGTAATTGCGTGAAACCGATATGTGTCTATCGTCTTTTGTAGATAGTATCAGGATCATTTTATTCATAGATATTATTTAAGAATTTTCTATTTAAGATTAAAATATTCTTTTTTAAATAAAAAATATGATGGTCGCTATATCGATCCTATTTTATGATAGATTGAAATGTAATAACATTAAATTTAGAAATCTTTTCTGTGGGTGCAGTAAAGATCAGTGGCGTAGCCGCTTGAGCGAAAGATGCATGGATCGACCTTCGTGCGTTGATGAGAATAATGTTCGAAAGTTATCGATGAATGAAAATCGGGAGACATCGGTGATAAAACTCGAAAGTTATATAACAGTTCGTAAACTTTCCTCGATCTCTGTATCTGTCAAATGTACATAGAGAAAAATGTATAATTGTATTCAAGTATTATTTATTTTAAGTATACCATAAGTTTGTATATCCGCAAATATATCACAAGTTTACCACAAGCATTAATAATTTAATTGAATATATTCTGAATTTTAGTAAGTACAGTATTTTAGTCAGGAATATTAAATTAAAACAAAAATTTGATTTGCTTAATAGAGCTGGCGTAAAGTAAATTTGATTTTTCCTTGATACAACTTTACAATATTCTTGAAGAGCAAATAAATTCTTCTTTTAAGTACATGATAATGAGATTTTCGTGTACTCAAAAGAAGAATTTATTTTCTAATTTGATGAGTATATTTTAAGATTATTATCAAGAATGTATTCTTTGATATATTCTTTGTTGAAAAGAAAATTACTTAAAAAAATATTACTATTACTTAAAAAAAATATTACTTACTATTACTTAAAAAAAATATCACTATTACTTAAAAAAAGAAAAATAAACTGAATAATCGCGTTTCTTGCCAGTAGATATTTTTCTCTGTGTCACAAACGATATTTTTCAGGATTATTATCTGTCGCATGCGATTGAAACATTAATAAGAGATTTTGATAAGAGAGAAACTCGCGTATGACAATTTTTAATGTCGTTCGGAATCGATAAAAGAATCCATATCGTCGCTTTATAAAGTACAATTTCTGATATCGAATATTAATGGTTATTTACATCTTAATGATTAAAATAACATCATTCGTTATAATTGTCATGTTGTAGACATGATCAAGAAAATATAAGCCGATAAGGATATCCTGCTATACCTTGATAACGCGATTTATCGAGAGGAGTCCTTCGATTACGCGTCATTGCGCGCTCTTTCGCTCTTTCTTTGTATCTCGCGCATCGAGAAGGAAGAATGAACGAGCGAAGAAACGAAGAGAGAAAACAAAAGGACTAAAGTTTTCGCCGATGGCGTGCCCGAGGATACTTAAGGAGGGAGCAGCCTCTCTTCCCAGAAGGAAGTGGCGTTTCGTTGCCGGCGAAACAGGAGTCGAGAACGAAAGAGAGAGAGAGAAGAAGAGCGAGATGCATAGACACGTACGCACATATATGTAAGAGGAAGATGAGGCAGTTTACCAGATTATTTTCCCAGGTGATGCTGTTACGAGTTCCGAAAAGACCGATCTTCGCACGCTACGCGCGCGGGATAAGCGACCCGCTACATATTTAATCCCGAAAAATAGAGAGAAAGAAAGAGATGGCAAAGAGGATTTCTTAATACATACATATATTACAGATAACTGTATTTATAAAAAAAATCGCGCGAGTCGAAAACCAAGAAATATGTAACAATATTATTGATAATGTTGCGCCTACTACCTTTTGCATTTTAAATGAAATAATTACGGTAATGTTAATATGCGTATTATTTGTATAAATTTTGCCGTTTTTATAAAAGAATCTAAACTTTTTATAAGTCTGTCTGAGAACGTCGATTTCATAAAAGAGAAAAAAATATGTAAACGTATATCAATATATATCTCTTACGCAATTTTCAATCGATGAATCATTCGATATAAATATCAAAGACTTTCGATTTAGATGACACACATGCGTGCGCGATGCGTGTGAACGTGATAGAAAGTGACGTTCTCTAATGATATTCGCGGAGACGCGGAAAAGGAGGATTAATCCGCATTTATATTCGTCTGGAAGGTGGTTGCGATTACCGATATGTATATGTGTGTATCGGCAAAGTTACAACTTCCTGCTGCCCGTTTCCCGCGACCGGACCGTTGGCTAGCACGAGAGAGAGATCGGTTGTTTCTACTTGACCACGATAATACACACCCGGTAAACACCCGGCGTGCTCGAGGCCAGACCGATTCAAGGTATTCATTAACGACGCATAGCAGCGCCGGCGCGTAGCAGACATTTTCTATTGTTCGTTCATTCAGAAACGAGCGGCTGCCGAACAAGGATAGCCCGTAGAGAGAAAGAGAAAGAAATAAGAGAGAGAGAGAGAGAAAGCTGGCATATAGCCAGCGGCTACGTCCACTTTTCTGTGCGAAAAAACGTGTTGATTATTTAGCAAAATGAATCGAAAAATCCGACAACGAGCGGCAGATCAACTTCCGACACGCCAACAAAAACCGCCTTTGCTAAGATTTAGCGTGTAAATTTCTTAGTAAACGAAACGAGTCACAGAGACTTGATTTTTGGGCAATTTATAACGTAAATTTTCTTGTTTATATTTATATTTCAAACAACTTTGTATAAATACGATCTCAAATAATGTGAACAAATTATAAACTCATACACAGAGAAAAATATATACTGTATTCAAGTAAATATTATTTATTTTAAGTATATCATAAGTATCATTTGTATATCCGCAAACATATCACAAGTTTAGCACAAGCATTAAATTTAATTGAATATATTCTGAATTTTAGTAAGTGCAGTAGTTTAATCAAGAATATTAAATTAAAACAAAAATTTGATTTGCTTACTACAAGAGTTGAGACGTAAAGTAAGTTTGATTTTTCTTTGATACAACTTTACAATATTCTTGAAGAGAAAATAAATTCTTCTTTTGAGTACATGATAATGAGAGTTTCTAACACTTGTGATGAATAATTGATATTTTAAGATTATTATCAAGAATATATTCTTTGTTGAAGAAAACTATTACTTAAAAAAAGAAAAATAAACTGAGTAACCGCTTTTCTTGGCAGTAGAATGATATTTTTCTCTGTGTACATCTTAATTTTCACAAAATATATGAGTATTTAATCAAATGTTTATTTGCAATTGTTTTTAAATTTAATAGTGATAAAGATACTAAGTATATATATAGTCATTAATTAATATAACTATAGTAATTAATTTGTATCTTGAAAATATAAGATTAAAGGACAACAACACTCGCTCTATTTAAAACAAACTCGCGAATTAATGATTAATTGAAAATAATTTCTCTAGTTTTCACAACGATCTTTTGGCAACATCTACAAAAAAGAGATTACTCTTTTTTCATTAATCTTTTCAATCGAGGTAAAACGCGACGATTTTCTTCTCTCCCGCCGATTGACACGTGGAACGCGGAGAGAGAAGGCAGCCAATTATCGCCATCGTTATTATCATGCGAAAGGAGGCAGGTGCGCTCTCCCGAGTGCATCGGGCGATGTGCAACGAGCGAGTCGCGCAACGGTGTCCCGTTTGCGAGGGAGAGAGACGCACGGAGAAAGACCGGCCGGGGAAAAGCGGTTGACAATCAACAGTGACGTAAGCTGCGCGTGTGGAGAGTCACGACCGCTGGAGTGTGTTCCTTTCGCTCGTGTATACGGATGTCCCTGCGTTGCGTCGCATACGCATCAAATGAAAATGAATAGAACACTTGACAAGTCGAGCAGCAAAGTTTGAATGCGTCCCAAATGTATCCTGATCTTGAAATATGA